CAAACGTAGTGCCTCTCGCATCATCCTGCAGAATCGCAACCAAACTCATAGGAGGATCAGCCAACTCATGCAAACCGTAGGGATAGACGAGACTGTGCTTCGAGAGCCAGTCCGCGACTCTATTCCCTTCTCGGTATGTATGAGACAGGCTAACCAACCAGTCTTGCCCCATCATTCGCCGAATAAGATTCAATAAGGTGGCATAAGGATGAATAGGATCATGCCGCTCCTGAATCAGCTGAATAGCAAGCTGCGAGTCGGTGGCTATCTTCACCACCCGAAAACCAAGTTTCCAAACCAACTCTAACCCATAGAAGATGGCCCAGAGCTCCGCTAATGCGGCAGTAGCACTTCCAATGTTGGCGACAAAACCACCCAACCAGTTTCCCAAAGTATCCCGGACTACTCCACCCGCCCCAGCTGGACCCGGGTTCCCATTCGAAGCCCCGTCCGTATTGACCATAACCCAACCTTCTGCTGGCGGAGTCCACCCCACTGCAGCCACAACCCGGTCAGCCTTCTGCTTCTTATGACTGGGGAATAGCTCCGGCGCCTGCCACGAATCGTTCCAGATTCTACTCTTCGTGATAATGGACTGCATAAGAGAAGGAGCAGTAAGAGCCGCCCCTATACCTTTGAAAGCAGCAGTAGTGCGGTTCTTCCAAAGGAGCCAAATGGAAATACTAAAGAAACCTGGCCAGTTGATCCCCGAAGTGGTGGTCTCCGTACTCGAAAGGTTACTGCGAAACCACTCGTCATGATTGGCACTGAAAAATGCCTGCTGCTTGCCCTGGGGAACTTGCCTGGACCAAAAAAACAAGGCAGGGGGACAGTCACGCATAATGTGGAGAGCTGATTCCGGACAACCTTCACACCGCGGGCAGCAAGGTGTCTCCGCCACCTTCCTCTGAAATCGAAGAACATTTGTCGCGATCCTTCCCTGAAACGCCAACCACACAAACCCTCTGATCCGCTCTGGGACTTGTAGGCGCCATATCGTCTTCCAAATTCCGTCCCGAGGCTGCTGATCCTGCGGCATAAGGAGTCCATACGCTGATTTGGTGGAGAAACGGCCATCAGCAGACGGAGACCAGAACAACGCGTCCTCCTCTTGAGAGATTTTATCCACTGCCGTGCTAGTGATCTTGGCGCAAATGTCCGGTGGAAGCAGATTAGAGAACAGCTCCGTGCGCCAACTCCCATCATCTCGAACAAAATCCGCTACCACCGCCTCCTCGGCCTCTCCTGGCAAGTCTCCCGTCATGACTTCCTTCAAGGGGGCCTGCAAAATCCACGGATCACACCAGAATTTAGTCTTTCTTCCATTTTTAATATTCCACGCACAGCCTTGCTTAAGCAGACCAGCAGCTTTGGAGAAACTACTCCAGGTGAAGGAACTTCCCTGTTTCTTCCGCAGAACATCGAGCCCTATTCTTTGACCTCCGTACTTCGAGAGAAGAAGTTGCCGCCAAAGATTATCTTTCTCCTGTAGAAGGCGCCAGCCACTCTTAGCCAACATAGCCAAGTTAGCCTGGCGAGTTGGGCGCAGGCCCACCCCGCCCTGGTCTTTCGCCAGAATCATCCTCTCCCAAGCAACTAGGTGCATTTTGGAACGATTCTCTTCAGCTCCCCAGACGAAGTCCCTAGTGATCTTGTCAATGTTCCTGCACACACCACTAGGGATCAATTCAGTGTGCATCGTATATACAGGCAAAGAAGCGGTTACCGATTTAGCGACAGTAAGTCTAGCCGCGAAGGATAAACGCTTCGCTTTCCAGGGTGCCATCTTCCTCTGAATGCGCAGGATAAGAGACTGGTATCTCCCTCTGGTGACCCTTTCCTGGATTGCCTGTATGCCGAGATATCTCCCCAGAGCAGCTTTCAAAGGAATCCCTGCACAGGAACTCAAGTCCTCGGCTTTATGTCTAGCAACGTTCGGGGAAATATAAAGAATAGACTTGCTGAAATTGATCCTTTGCCCCGAGCTGTAGCAGAAATCCGCAAGACACTGTTTGATGACTCGGATTTGCCTCCTTTCAGCCTCTGCAAACAATAAAAGATCATCTGCAAAAAAGAGATGGGTCAGTGGCGGCCCGGCATTAGTTAACCGAATCGGTTTCCATTGCCCACTGCTAACCGCCTCATCAATCCTGTGAGATAATCTTTCCATACAAAGCACAAAGAGGTAAGGGGAAAGGGGGTCTCCCTGACGAACTCCGCGAGACGGGGTGATCGGCTGAGACAATTCTCCATTCCAACGAATCCTCATGGTGTTGTGCTCCACGCAGTACATGATACAAGTAATCCAACTGCTCGGCAGCCCGACCTCTTTCAAAGTATCCCGCACGAAGTCCCACCTCAGCATATCATATGCTTTTTCCAAATCAATTTTGAACACCATGCCGCCTTTCTTCCCTCGCCTCTTCCTCAAGCTGTGTAAAACCTCTTGAACCACAATAATGTTGTCGGTCGTTTGTCTCCCTGGAATGAAACTGCTCTGCCTCGGGGACACCAACTTCCTCATGAGAGGTTTCAGCCTCGAAGTAATGGCCTTAGTAATGCTCTTCAAGCACACATTATTAAGCGAAATAGGCCGAAGCTGAGTCACTCTCTCAGGCGAATCCACTTTAGGTATGAGGACAAGCGTCGACTCCGTCACAGCTTCTGGGAGGATGCCTGTAGTGAAGAAGGAGACAGCCATCTCGGAAAGGGTCTTCCCCACTACCTGCCAAAACTGCTGGTAGAACGCTGCTTGGAACCCGTCCGGACCTGGTGCTTGGAACGGCTTCATGTCAAAGATTGCCTGGTGGATATCTTGAATACTGAAAGGTCTAAACAGGGCTGCTGCTTCCGCTTGCGACATTCGAGGAAAGGAATCCGTCGGCAACCTATCTTCGTAGGGAGAGCTATCCTGCATATAAATGTTAGTAAAGAAATCGAAAACAAGCAGAGCAAGGGAGTGAGGATCGGTCACCCAAAGCCCATTGTCGTCGAGCAAAGCTTCAATCTTGTTAAAACGTCTCCTGATGTTGACCTGCTGGTGAAAATACGCCGTGTTCCTTTCCCCATACTTCACCCACTTGTCCCTAGCACGTTGGTACCAAATGAGCTCTTCCTGTTCGAGAACCAGATCTAGCTCTCTGGAGAGTTTGGAGTGGAGCTTAGCGAGGCCCGGGGAGAACCCTCCTGCTAAAATTGCTTCGACCCCTTTAATTCTGGCCAGCAAACGACGCTTCTTGCGCTTGACATCTCCAAAAACTTCATCATTCCATTCCAGAAGCTTATCCGCCAGCACTTTGAGAGCATTATGGAGAGGGGCATTTGCATCCCAGCTATCCGCTACTGCTTGCGGCAGGCGGTCACTAGTCAACCAGGCCGCCTCAAATCTGAAGTTTCTCGGAGTATGCTGCTGTCTCGCCTGCAACTCCACAGAGGTCATAATCGGGTTATGATCTGATTGGTAGCGCGGCAAGTGAAGCACTGTCGAATTGGGGAAAGAAATGTTCCACCGGAGGTTACAAAGGCTCCTGTCCAAACGGCTAGCTTTGTAAGTGTGGATTTGATCGCCTCTTGACCAGGTAAATTTAGGTCCGGAGAAACCCATATCGACAAGCTCCGCCAACTGAAGTCTTTCAGTGAACAACTGACATCTCTTCAAAGTGTTCCGCACAGGAGGCCCCGACTTCTCCTCAGGTTTGCTAATGGCGTTAAAATCCCCTGTTAACAACCAAGGCATATCAATGAGCCTGCTGTACGAAATCAGCCTTGCCCACAGGAGTCGTTGGTCCCTCTGCCGCGGTGAGGCGTACACCGCCGTCAGCATCCACGGAGGATCGTTGCCCCTGTTCACTTGCAAGGACAGGTGTTGCGAACAAGCAGAGAAAGGCTGCACCGAGAAAACACCTCCATCCCAAAATACCCACACCCCACCTGACCGGCCCTCGGCTTCCACGCGAAAAGAATTGGGAAACCCTAATCTATCACACACCTTGTTGGCCGAGTCGCCACTCAATTGCGGCTCCAGCAGCACCACGAAGTCCGGCCGATGAGTCTGAATAGCAAGTTTCAAAGCTCGGCAGAACGCCCGGCTTCCCGCTCCCCCAACATTCCACGCGAACACTTTCAATTTGTGATTCATTGACATAAGGAAATAGATAGGTACCCAGACAGGGAGGAAGAAGAAGATGGCGGCTCAGACCTCGGGAACCCCCATCACGCATTGGCGACCGTCTCTTCGTCCGGATCGCTCGCTGGAGTTGGGCGGCCGGCCGACTCACCTATCTCCGACGCCATTCGAGCTTTAGATTTTGGTTTTCTTTCTTTAACCGGTGACCAAATTTGGAGGGGTTTTGCCGGATTAAGCTTGCTGGGCGATCTCTTCTTCCCTTGCACTTTCTTGTTCTTACTCTGTTTCGTTCTTGTCGATAAAGAGGGGTTGGACCCAGAAGTTTGTTCGCCACTCTCCATCTGTGAACTCTCAACAATATTCATCACAGTACCATTAGGGCCCACTATAGTGTGAAAAATGGGTGGCTGAGGAGGGGAGCCCGTAAGCTCTTGTTGGACCAGAAGCCCTTTAGCGAAACCTGATCCCCTCGACGCAGCCTGTTGTTGAGGCTTGGGCTGCTTCTGACTGATGGACTGATTCCCATCTTTAACCGCGGGCTTCGGCCCAGCTGTCTCAAGACCAGCCGAGCTGGGTCCCTGCCCAAGGAGACCTTTATCTTTCCCTCCAACCTCCATAACCAATTTATCTTTCCCTTTCTTCGTCTCCTCCCCGCTCTTTTTCCCGTTAAACATTTTCCTTTCTTGGTTTGGGTTCCGTTGCAGAGTAGCGCCACTGGGGGAGTTCGTGGAAGGTAAGGAAAGATTCCCTTCCTTAATTATCAACTCTCGATTTCCATTTTTTCCACTTGATGTCGCAATCTGTGTCCCTGTCTCATGCTCCGACTTACCTTTCCGATGATTGTCCCTTGAAATCCGCCGTGCTTTCCTCGTCACTAGCATCCACGGCCCGAACCCCTGGTTGGGTTCCTCCGGCGGGGACGGGGTCTGGTCAACGACAGATCGCCGGCGGCCTCCACCAGAGCCGATGAGGCTCCGATAGAATTCCTCGGGCAGGAACCGGAGCGATGTCCAATCTTCCCGCACTTGAAGCACACCTCCGGCAGATTTTCGTACTCGACCTTCTGCCACTCATCATCTAGCCAGATTCTCGGAACTAGAGGCCTCGAAATGTCCACCTCCACCGCTATGCGAGCAAACTTAGCTCGTTGCTGCGTGAGAGTATGATAATCCAGCTTGATAGTCCGACCGATTAGATTGCCCAAAGTAGTGAGAACCTCCTTATGGTAGAAGTGGATTTTCAGAGCCGGGAGCTGAACCCAAACGATCATGGTCTTCGGAAGCGGGTCCGAAGCTTTAAACTTCGGCGTCCATTGCTGAACGACCAAATAATGGTCGTAAATCACCCACGGACCATCGGTCAGAGCCCGGAAGTAGTCCTGTTCGTTATCCAATTTGACTAAGAAACAATCATGATCCAGGTCCTTAACCTCCATAGCTCCAACCGGCCGCCATAGACTCTTCAGGCGATTGCACAAAGTGATAAATCCAATCCGCAACCCAAGAAGGCGAATCACGAGCGTCCTTTGCCACGGTGCACAAATCTTTGCTTTGAATTCAGCTGAAACTGTTAGGGCCGGTTCCCCGTTCCGATCACCTGTCACAAGGTCGTGCTCACCCACCGGAGTCCACTGAAACGCCTGACTCGGGGTTGCCGTCGGCTGCGACCCCCCCATGGCTGCTTTAGCATACGACAGAGCCATCCCGGGGGCCAGACCTGATGTTTGTCCCGATAGCGGCACCGTCGCCGTCGTGTGGATCTCCTGTTCCTGCAGGTTCAAAAGAGAAGAATCAATAGCCATATTCGACGAACTATTATCCTGAATCGTGTTAAAAGCCAAAACGGTAGAGTCATTAGCCGCCGGCGGGCTAGAAGTGTCCGGCGGACGGTCAGACGGGAGAAGGGCCGGCGCCGGAGCTGCAGATCCGCCAATATCAGTAGAGAGCATCAGTTCCTGACTAAATGGTAAATAATTAATAATCAATCATTTGCACTACCAATACATATAAAATCACTACTACACAAACAATACTAACCAAAATCACTGCTACATAGAAATAAATATTTTCTTCAATGCTAATTCCATTCCCACGCGTCACACCCATGCAACGCCATCAGTGCCACTCGAAACCTTGGATCTGGAATTCCAGCAGCGCCAAAGCTCCCCTAGCGGTGTTTGCATATCTATGTTTTCGACACGGTGATAGCAAATCTTGCCGACGTACGTCGGCCGGAGAGATGAAGGGAGCATATCTAGCCACCGATGGAACACACTATCTTGTCGTCGCTCCCACTTCTACCGTTTTTCCCTCCCGCTTCCGCTTAGGGGAGACTTGGATCTGGAACTCGCTGAACTGTGGCTGCTAGGAGAGACGAAGACGGTGGGGAGGGCGGCGAAGATTCGGGTGGGGCATCTCTGGTTCCGGCGCTCCTCATCGCACGAGAGAGGATGCGGAGAGAGCGTGAGATTTGGGTTCGTGGGAGAGAGATGCGGTTAAGTTAGTATTTATATTAGGGTTTGAGAGAATATAACTAAACTATCCTCAATTTAATTTTGACCCTAGAATTAGTGTTTAATCTAATGGCTATTAAGCTAGTTAGCAACTAATCCCATCCCTAATTTGGTTAGGTGTATAATCTCATCATTTGTTTTAATTTGGACAATAATTTTTTAACATAAAATCAAATTAATCAGGTTACACAACATCATATACACTTTGATATACTTTGGAATAAAATTGTTAGTCGAGCATTATATAGCATCATTGACAATAGCTTCGGGAACTATCAATTTTTCTATCGTAGTACTTGAAGTAAGCGACAATTTTTAATTGCACCATCAATGTCATTTCCGTTAGATTGTCAATAAAACTGGTCTCACCTTGATGACTGAACTTTGATGTAACTCTCAATTTGCCTAAAATCAACATAGAATGACCATTGTATTCGCTACTCAGTTTCTCATTTAAAATATTAAAATAAAAACCACCATCGATAGAAAATGGCATTCCTGAGAGGTTTAATTGTTCTCGTCATTGACCACCAAACTTTCCTAAGATGTTTGACGAATTGGGCAACAGAATCTGCTCTGCATACAAGTATTTTCCATACAAAAATTTGAAATAGTATAAATTGTTGTTGTTCATATTTGAGCTCTACATACCCAAAATTCAACTGCAAACTCTCCCAAAAACTATTCATGATATGCAAAATTATATATGAAAACGGGCACATCTAGAAACTGACATTCCTTGAAGATGTAATTATTCCCATCATCGACCACTAAGCTTTCCTAAGTCATTTTGACAAACCGGACAACAAAATCTACAATTAGAATTAGTTCCTATTAAAGAATTTGTTGGAAGCTTAATTGCACTAATTTTTGTGTAACAAGTTTGGACATACCTAAATATTAATTAGAGAACATTCTTATGGGCTATTCATTAAGTTTTATAGGTTATCAAATTTTGTATTGATCGTTGGGTTGCTTATCAGTGTTAAGAAAGAAAAATCTCGAGAAATATTTTTGACGTGAACAACGTAAATTCATGATATAAAAATTATGTATAAAAACCACTACATGTAGAAAATGGCATTCTTGGCGTATGTAATTATTCCCATAATCGACAACTAAGCTTTCTCGTGCCATTTTGGCAAACTAGACAATAAAATCTGCAGATAGAATTATTTTCCATAAAGAATTTGGTGGAAGCTTCATCACACAAATTGTCGTGTTTCATATTTGCGCATACCTAAATCTGAATTATTATGTAACACTCTTACGGGCAATTCGTTAAGTTTTCAATTTATAGGTTATCAATTTTGCCTATGAATGGTTATCAAATTTTGGGTTGGCCGTTAGGTTGCTCATTAATGTTAAGGAAAGAAAAAATATGAAAAATGTTTATGACTTGAATGATGTAAATTCTATTGCTAAAAATAACATCTCATATTTGAAATTATTTTAACATCAGAGATTGTCTTTCAATAAAATGTAGAAAATAAGGAAGACTCTACTGTGTAAGATAAATGTTTCATTGATGGAGACTAAAACATTCTTATTGAAGGATTATGATAATTTTGATGGTGGAGTGATCACAAAGGAATTTAAAATTAATTTTGAGATTCTTGAAAGCGAGGAGAAATAGTGTGAGTTACTTAATTTTTTTCTAATAGTCGACCCTTGCATGAATTTTCTTTTCACTTTAATAAGGATTTTTGTCAATGAATCGGTTAACATGTCTGAAAATTATATAAGTATAGTATTTTATATTTCTGGTGATTAAATAATTTAGAATTTTTATTGTATAAAATAAAACATGTCTCAACTCAAATAGTTTTATCATTTATATCATTGATAAATTCATCCGACCAACATACGGGCCATAATCTAGTCTAGTAATAATAACTTATATTATGATCGTTTTAGAGCAATCTATTGCCACGTAGAATTCATAAAGCTCTACCATTTTCCATATCATCTTTATCATTTAGTTTCCCCGTAAAATTTTATATTCCACTAACCTAAAAGTAATAATGAGATCTATAATCATCATCACTAAGACTCAAACCCAAAACCTACCATTGGGATAAATTCTATTTGATGCTATCACCATGAAAAAATTATTACTCATGTAATGAAATGGGTTTAACAGTAACACCTGACCTTTGACTATGATCTTCTTTGCTTTATCGTTTGACATTTGACTCAAATAAAACATTGACCCTAAATTATACATAAATTAAAGCCACAAAAATGTCTATCATATTTTCTATCCATCATAGAGAATCATTAACAAATAAAATAACTTTTTTAAAGTTTTCTTCATAATATTATAGATAAATAATTACAAATATTTCAACAAATCATAAATGAAAAAACAAAATGAAGAGCCAAAATTTCATTATTATCCAACTCGGAACACTTAATTAATTTCATATCATGTTCTTTTAAAATTGAAAGCATGAGAAATCAAAGAATCACACTATTTGATATTCTATCACACCAATAATATAATATTTTATCTATACTATTATAAATATGTGTACTAATACACTCATATAGTTACATACTAAAAGTATGAAAATTGTGCATACGGCTTTAGTTGTTGATAATATTATGAAGTGAAAATTCTAACTTGCTAAGTAAAATATATAATCACAGTCACATAATTACACCATAAAATTACTAAAATATACTTACATAATTCAGTCATAAGTGGTGGGAACAGGTTCAACGTCGCCGACAGCAAAACCAGAGAAATCTGATGGTGAAGTGGGAGGAGTTACGAAGATTAACGAGGGACGAGTTCATTCCTGCCTATTATCAAAGGGAACTCTACGGAAGGAATTCGACAGGGAGCAAGAAGGGTGGAGGAATTTTTCTGGGAACTGGAGTTGCCGATAATGCGTGCCGACGTCAGGGAGGATCGGGAAGCGACGATTGCTCGCTTTCTCCACGGTCTGAACAGGGAAGTCCGGCATGAGGTTGAGCTCAGGGCCTTTGTCGACTTGGAGTAAGATCTTCACCTCACAATTAAAGTCGAAAGGCAGTAGAGAACCTCAAGGAAGAGCACTCCGGCAAGCAAGGCAGTGACAGAGACAACTACCGAAGCTAATCCCCAGCAATTGCGACAAGATTCAGGAAAATTGAATCTAAGTAACGCTCAACCAACCTCTAATGAACTCTTTGAAGGGATACAGTGCTACAAGTGCCATGGGAGAGGGCACAAGGCCAACCAGTGCCCTAACTTGAAGACTCTAGTGATCAGAGACTGCGAGTTTCTCACCGACGACGAGCAAAATTCCAGCGACGAGGAAGTTGATGAGAAAATTGAAGCCGAGCCTCCACCTGGCAAGCTTCTAAATGTTAATCGAAAGGCTTTAACCATTGAAACGCAGCCAGGCCTGAGCCAAAGGGAAAATTTATTTCATTCCCATTGTTTGGTTGTCAGGAAACTCTTGCCGGTGATCGTTGACGGAGGCAGTTGTGCCAACGTGATCAGCTAGGATGCTGTGAACAAACTCGTATGAAAAACTACCAGGCATCCAGACCCTTATAACCTGCATTGGCTTAACGATTATGGAGCAGTTCGAGTGTCAAACCAAGCACGGGTGAACTTTGAGATCGAAGCTTAACACGACGAGCTCGAATTTGACGTCGCCCCAATGCAAGCTGCGCATTTACTTCTCGGGAAGCCCTGGCGATTAGACTGAGGTGTATGCCACTATGGAGGGCCGAACTGCTACAAAGTTCGGTACAAGGGGAAGGAGATTCTGCTGAAGCCCTTGTCACCTGAAGAAGTTCGAGAAGATCGACGGCAGCTTGAAGCCAGTCAACGTCGATCCAAAGGTAAATCAAGTGGTAAGTTCGGCGAGGTAGACAATGTCGCCACTCTTGTCACTCGATGAAATGTTGACTGGGTACAAGAAAAAAAGGAAGATTCATCGCCGCCGACCCTGCCAACCATCGTCGGAGTAGAGCAGGAGAGAGAATGAATTGATCGGACCAACTGGCAAAGAGTCAATCCAAACGGCGAATGCAGGCACGTTCCAAATTGCGCCAGGAAGCTCAAATGAAAGTTGGATTGGGACGAATATACCTGGATTGCCGAATCCAATTCGACCAGAAATTGCTCTGGAAATGAACCAACTCGATTAAAAATCAAGTCTATTGGTTGGATCGATTGGGGATGATTCGACACGCATGGCTGGTGCCAAAGTGTTGGGGACAATCCCATGAAGCTGTAGGAATGGTCTGATTGGGCTAGCGAGGACTGAATAAAAAACGCCCAAATCGAATTCAAGTTTGCTGAGTTCTGAGTTTTTGAACTGCGTCCATGGCGGAAAAGAAGATGTCGATGATTCGACGACGAAGACCATATTCAAGTCACAAGGCCCGTCTAGAAATTCAATTCGAAGCAAAATAAAGTCATTAGTGGCCTTGGA